ACATGAGCCCCGTGAGTGACACCACGCAACACATGAGCCCAGTGCACGTCACCAGGAAACACATGAGCCCCTCGCGCATCATCAGGCGACACATGAGCCCCGCGCGTCACCAGGCAACACATGAGCCCAGCGCGCATCACAATGCGACATGAGCCCCGCGCGTCACTAGGCAACACATGAGCCCAGCGCGCCTCACCAGGCAACACATGAGCCGCGCGCGTCACCAGGCAACACATTAGCCCAGCAGCCGTCACCAGGCAAAACATGAGACGCACGCGTCACCAGGAAACAAATGAGCCCCGTGCGCATCACCTCGCAACACATGAGCTCTGCGCATCACCAGGCAACACATGAGCCCCACGCACATCACCTGGCAACACATGAGCCCCTCGCGTCACCAGGCAAAACATGAGCCGCGCGCGTCACCAGGCAATAAATGAGCCTCGCGCGCATCACCAAACAACACATGAGCCCCGTGAGTAACACCACGCAACACATGAGCCCAGTGCACGTCACCAGGAAACACATGAGCCCCTCGCGCATCATCAGGCGACACATGAGCCCCGCGCGTCACCAGGCAACACATGAGCCCAGCGCGCATCACAATGCGACATGAGCCCCGCGCGTCACCAGGCAACACATGAGCCGCGCGCATCACCAGGCAACACATTAGCCCAGCAGCCGTCACCATGCAACACATGAGTCCCGCGCCCGTCACCACGCAACACATGAGCCCTGCGCGCGTCACCATACAACACATTAAGCCACGCGCACGTCACCATGCAACACATTAAGCCCCACGCACGTCACCATGCAACAAAAGAGCCCCATGCGCATCACCTCGCAAAACATGAGTCCCGCGCGCATCACCAGGCAACACATTAAGCCCCGCTCGCGTCACCACGCAACACATGAGCCCCGCGCCCGTCACCTCGCAACACATGAGCCCCGCCGTCACCAGGCAACCCATGAACCCCATGCACATCACCAGTCAACACCTGAGCCCCGCGCGCATCACCACTCAGCACATGAGCCCCGCACGCGTCACCAGGCAACAAATGAGCCCCGCGTGCCTCACCAGGCAACACATGAGCCCTGCGCGCGTCACCAGGCAAAACATGAGCCGCGAGCATCACCAGGCAAAACATAAGCCGCTCGCGTCACAAGGCAATAAATGAGCCCCGCCACACGTCACCAGGCACCAGCTCGCGGGGGCTCATTTTTTTGCCTTGTGACTCGCGCGGCTTATGTTTTGCCTGGTGACGCTCACGGCTCATGTTTTGCCTGGTGACGCGCGAGGGGCTCATGTTTTGCCTGATGACGCGCGCGGGGTTCATTTTTTGCCTGATGATGCGCGTGGGCCTCATTTTTTGCCTGGTGATGCGTGCAGGCCTCATGTGTGGCCTGGTGACGCGCGCTGGGCTCATGAGTTGTCTAGTGACGGGCACAGGGCTCATGCGTTGCCTGGTGTCGCCCACGGGGCTCATGCGTTGCCTGGTGTCGCCCACGGGGCTCATGCGTTGCCTGGTGTCGCGCGCAGGGCTCATGTGTTAATGTGCCAAACGCAGGCAGTCTGGTTACATATTATGCATTTAAACATTTGTTGACATTTTTTGCACAGTAGAAAAAAATCCAAAGATATTTGATACTGAATGTGGAATGGTGGCAGTTAATGCTGTCTTATATAAGGGAAAATGCTTAATGCAATGTATGGTGTCTTTTCTTTGTTTCAAATTGACTGCCTGGAGCTTCATTTCCATGGTGTGTGTCAGTGATAACACTCTCTTTTCACTTCTCATATTCAACACATTTTTCTCTTTAACATGACGTCACACGAATCATAAAGAAAGGGAATCGGATACAAAGTTCTACCAGCATGGAGTGCAAACAGGCTCTTAGAGTGTGATGTCACTAATATGATGACTGTTTAATGGATATTTTTGGTGGACACTAATATGATGACTGTTTAATGGATATTTTTGGTGGACTTCTGAAGCCATAAGATGTTGCCCGTTGTGTGATGTGTGTGGTGGCCTTTGTACATTACTGCTTACACCTGACTACATTTAAAATGTTTCAATCAGTATCAGAAAAGATGGTAGAGTAGTCACTATTAAATTCTTTTTGTAGTTGTTGTAAATCTGTGTTTATTGAATTTTTGCATTTGTGATAAAACGAAATCAAAGGTACGCTGGCCGCAATGTAGACATATGTTTCCATTAAATATACAGTTATCCATGGTATACATATACAATCACTCTGTCAGCCATTTAACAGTAGCCAGTTTGTGGTTCAGAACCTCTATGTGATATTCATTAGTATGGTAGCATGATCCGTAGATCACACCCCAGTATATTGAAATCTGCACATAAGACGTCAAGTTAAAGAGAAATATTAAAGTTAAAGAGAAGCTCCGGAGCAGGGAATGAAGCTCCGGAGCAGATTTATGCTGTTATTCTGTGACTGCTATGCTTGCTTTCAGGAGAGGCGAGGTTTAGGGGAAGTCCCTGCCAGCTTCAACTCTCACACTAGACTGAAAGCTCAGACATTAAACATTCACCAGCAGAGACGTGAGAGAGAACACAGTGAACACAAATTGTGACCAGGGGAAGATCCAATGTAAAGGACACCAGGAAAAGACTACAAACAGGACATTTTTATCATATGATGGGGCTCTGAGCACAGCTTTTAGTGGGTTTCCTATTATAATGCCCTGGCTAAGTGCGAGGATTGTTAAACAGCCATGGATGAGTGAAGCTGTAGTTACAGAGCTGCTGTGCAGATCGTCTCTGAATGTTCTCGACAGTGAGACAGTGCTGTACAGTCCTCATTGCTGCCCGATAGCTGGAGACATTGACCACACAGGAGCCGCTGCTTATAATGAACTGCAGGGCGAGTTGGAACCCACTTCCAAAAGTTTTCAGCTGATGGTTGTTTCAAGGGAGATGCAGCGATCACTGTGTTAATGTGCAGTCTTGTTACATTTTATATATGATTATGTTACATATTATGCAAGAAACACAACTCTAAATTCAAGTTATATTTTAATGAGGTGAAACTGAAGATCCATCTAGATTGTTCGTTCCCATAGAAATAGGATCCTCAACTCCTCTTATATTTGTTTGTCAAATTTTATTTTGTCTGTTAGATGTATTGTACCTTTGTCTTTTTACTTGTACCAATTGTAACCATGAGCAGCACGGCAGAATGTGTTGGTGCATTACAATAAAAGTATGATAATAGCTCATCTTGGACAAAAGTAATGTCTGAAGCTAAATCTTTCTGGAACGTTTGCCTTTGGACTCAGACTGTGAGTGTGTCTCTCCCAGGGAATTATGTGTCTGTCGGCTAGAGCTATGTGTGATCATGAAGCTGCTGAGTGTAGACTAACATTGCTCTGAGTCTGTATCTGTCTGTCAGTGTGAGTTGTGTTTTACAGCCCTGGATAAATGAAGCTGCCATTCACCTTGTCTATTTGGCACTCAGCCTCCGTCCAGCAGCCCTTTCCCAACAGTCAATTTGAAGCAGAGACAAAGAAAAGGGAAAACTCATTACAGAACATTACAGGACTTTTAGGACTCAACCTCTCAGTTTAAGCTTCTCAACTTGGGTTTTAATAACCAGCTTCTTTGTTAGAGTCCACCATGTTTTAGTAATTAATCTCTATATCATTCTGTGGATTATCTTCAGGCCTGTTCTACATACTAATATTATGTGCGGAATATAATTCAGATTGCCTTCCTTCTCTACAGGATATATTGAGGTTTACATTTCCTGAATGACTCATCGAGAGCGTTTGTTTTTTGTTGCAAAAAGCTTCCTGCTTTTGTTGCCAGTGAAGGCAGCTCCACAGGACTACATGCTGCGCCTCCGTTCCACGCACAATTTTTGTAGAATCTTTTTATACAAAGACATATTTCTCTAATGTGTATATCTCAATGTAAATCTCCCTCTTTCTTGGTGACTAGCGATGCTGCTGAAAGTCTTAAACAACACATGACTTTGTATTAAAAATACATGTATGTACGTAGCGGGGAATGTGGTGCGACTAAAAGAAAGACTACCCACTTATCCCCCCAATAATGACAGACAATGCATATTGGATGAAACAGGTCACAGCATTTATTAAAACTTACAACTGTAGGACACATCCGAACTTCATTCTTTTCCTCTAATTCCAATATAGATAAACACATAAATATATATACATACCATAATTAACAATAAATTAACACTTATAGCCCTACAGCCTTCAACTTAAATAACCGTCCTTGCCAACGAACTTAACTAGGTGCCTATGCACCAAAAACTTTACCCACTGGTGTCTCGCCTCCCCCCTCGTCCAAACCAAATTCCCATCATCTTAAATGCTCTAACCACCAGCCGGCTCTTAGCTCGGTGGGCACTTCCAATTCGGTAACTTGAAAGTTTACCTTACAGAGCAGGGGAGGTTGAGACCCACCTTGTCCATCTCCTGACATTCCATCTGCTCCCCAACCCTGTTGGCAAGGACATGCTCCCCGCTAGCTGTGACAAAACAAAACAAAAAACAAAACAAAAACAAAACATAAATTAGGGTGGGTGGGAGGGAAGTTGTTTGCTGGCCAGAATCCCAAAAGGCACTGAGGTAAGATGATCCCTGCCCCACTTCAAACCCATAACCACTCCCCTAAACACATACAGCCAATCACTAGCACCGTCCCCACACTCATACATGTGCCCTTGTACGTTTAGCTGTGCTGACTCCCCAGGGCCTCAATTACTTGGATTTTTGATGTCAGTTATTGACTTTGTAAGTGGTGTCATATTCTGGATAATAGATAGTCAAAGAGCAGAACTGTCTCCTTTCTTAGCTCTGCCACCACTTAGGGCACCCCTTCTTGTTTAGAGCAGGAATGGCCATGACTCCAGGGGCCCTGTGAGGGGTCGACGTTGAGACTCGTATTACCACCCAAACTGCGCATTACTTTTTAGGAACTGTTCCAGTTCTCATCTTTGAGTGCTGACCGAGGTACAACACATTTCTAGAGACCACCAATATTATATTACAAACTTTCCCCCTCTAAACTAAGACAGTTTGAAATCCAACCTTGAAATTTGGAGCGTCAAATATCATAGTTTTTTCCAGTGTATTTATATTGCACAAAAAACAACTTCACAAATTATCAGCTTATACAAAGTTTATTTTCTCAAAGTAGCATTCTCAGAGTAAGAAATATTGCGAGATAATTCTCGGTTGTACGTGTTATATTCATATTTCTTGTCCACTGTTCAGTTCATAGTCTTTGGTTCATGGTCCCTTAATGACTATGTGATTTTGATTGTGAGATCCTTTTGGAATCCCGTGTAAGAATGCCACGAACATCTCTGTATCTAGGAGTTAGAAGTTAGACGCGATGTTGCTTTCTCAGATTCCATCTTCTCATTAAAGAGTAAAGTAGATCAACCCGTAGTAAAATCTCCTGAATTTTAGCTGTAGCGATAGCACGAGCACACGCTGTATCACCCTGCAGAGAAGAATAGAGAAATTATTATACAAATGGTAAAAGTAGAGAAGGTAGAATTTGGGGAAGGCAAATGGGGAGACAATGCTATGTCTGACACTATCCTCAGCTGTAGGATTGTTTTGACTCGTTATGTCACTTGCTGAGAATAAATGCGCGTGGGAAACTTATCCTGAACTAGAAGATGCTGGAATTAGGGGTGGAGACGGGGTTGGCCAGAAAGTATTTGCAAACATTATTAATACCTGCTTTTGGACAATCTCATTGAGGTTACTGAAATATCTTGTTATTTCTTCGAGGATAGGAGGATTTTCATCAGTCTTTGTAAACTGAAAACATGAAAGAATTTGTTATTGATACCTTCATTATCAAGCAAAGACAGATTCTGTTACTTAATAAATGACTTAATAGCATAGTTTATAAAATACCAGCATATTCGGCAGTGCTGTTCAACTTACACACATGGCCAATGCATTTATATGGTAACAAAGAATTTGTTGGAACTCATCCCAGGCTGCAAGCTTATAACCGATTGTCTTCTGTTGTAACCACGGGGAGTTTCTTATTTCAATCAGAACCTTTCTCACAATGGCTGCAGCTAACCCCTGGAATAACAAAGACAGACTTTAACAAGTGCATTAAGGTGAATACATTCAGTATTAATCAAATTAAAGCATTCATTGTCTTCTTTCAATGGTTGTGTAGAGACAGGTCAATACAGCAGGGTCACAATATGGTTCTTCATGATTAATAATGGACTACCTGAGATTCCTTAGATGTTACTAAGATGTTGAAGATATTGGGAAGGTTTGGTAGCTCGAGGTCAAATGGACAAACTTCAAAAACATCTTCATCAGATCTCTAGAAATAAAAACAGATTAGTTAGTGAACGTGAAAAAAATAAATCAAAATTTCTAAATTCAAGAAGTGAAAAGAGAGTGTTATCCCGAACACACACCATGGGAATGAAGCTCTGGAGCAGATTTCCTATCTTAGTCTCCTGTGTCGGACTGAGCTGTTTGCAGTTTGGCAAAAATATACCCGAAGAAAAGTTCAGCAAAATTAGAAACAAAAATTTCATTTTTAGACACATTTTCGAAGGATCTTATTATTCGGCAGGAGGTCTGTTCTAAGTTGGGGTCCATCGTCGCAAGTATTTATAACCAGGGTTTAACTTTGGATTTGTTCTGTGTGGAATATCTACACAATTACTTTATATACTTTTATTCTGTGAAGAGTATATTCAACTTTGTTCAAGATATTGTTTTTGCTTGCAGAATATATTGTTGTCTGTACTGTTATTATGTGACTGCTATGCTTGCTTGCTTTCAGGTAGTACGAGGCGAGGCTTAGTGGGAAGTCCCTGCCAGTATCAATTCTCACACTAGACTGAAAGCTCAGACATTAACATTCACCAGCAGAGACGTGAGAGAGAGCACAGTGAACACAGATTGTGACCAGGGGAAGATCCGATGTAAAGGACACCAGGAAAAGACTACAAACAGGACATTTTTATCATATGATGGGGCTCTGATCACAGCTTTTAGTGGGTATCCTATTATACAGCCCTGGCTAAGTGCGAGGATTATTATACAGCCATGGATGAGTGAAGCTGTAGTTACAGAGCTGCTGTGCAGATCGTCTCTGAATGTTTTCGACAGTGAGACAGTGCTGTACAGTCCTCATTGCTGGAGACATTGACCACACAGGAGCCGTTGCTTATAATGAACTGCAGGGCGAGTTGGAATCCACTTCCAAAAGTTTTCAGCTGATGGTTGTTTCGAGGGAGATGCAGCGATCACTGTGTTAATGTGCCAAACGCAGGCAGTCTGGTTACATATTATGCAAGAAACACAACTCTAAATTCAAGTTATATTTTAATGAGGTGAAACTGAAGATCGATCTAGATTGCTCATTCCCATAGAAATAGGATCCTCAACTCCTCTTATTTGTTTGTCAAATTTTATTTTGTCTGTTAGATGTATTGTACCTTTGTCTTTTTACTTGTACCAATTGTAACCATGAGCAGCATGGCAGAATGTGTTGGTGCATTACAATAAAAGTATGATAATAGCTCATCTTGGACAAAAGTAATGTCTGAAGCTAAATCTTTCTGGAACATTTGCCTTTGCACTCAGACTGTGAGTGTGTCTCTCCCAGGGAATTATGTGTCTGTCGGCTAGAGCTATGTGTGATCATGAAGCTGCTGAGTGTAGAGTAACATTGCTCTGTGTCTGTATCTGTCTGTCAGTGTGAGTTGTGTTTTACAGCCCTGGATAAGTGAAGCTGCCATTCACATTGTCTATTTGGCACTCAGCCTCCATCCAGCAGCCCTTGACTGGTGTATAGTCGCCATATGGGCAGTCGGAACCTTGGACAACCATCCCACATACCTATCCCCAATAACACGCTGACACTAGGAATATGGGAAAAATTGTCCACAGCTTTATTAACAAACAGAAACGATACTAATAATTTAACATATATATAACACATGGGTCATTGCCCCCCATCCTCCGCCCTCGCATCTATACCTTCATTAAATATCAGGGCAATGACCCAACATAAGCAACACATAAATATATATAAATAACGCTTTAACTTTACTCCAACATGAACCGATTTGAATGCAACCATAAGTAACCACGGTAGGGGTATACCCAGATACCCCTACCCCACCAGGTTCTGAGCCACCTCCAGGACTCGAAACCCACCATCGACCATTGACCACAATTCTTCATGTTCCTCACGTTCCTCATGGAGAGCCTATTTTTCCTTCCCTAGCTCTCTATCCCGCCGCTGTGACAAAACGGGATAAAAGAAAACAAAACCATTACAGGGAGGGAGGGTGGGACAAACACAGCTAGGTAGAAATTAATGTGCACATTTTTAAAATGGCTGCCTAATAAATAGCCAGCCCCCATCCCATAATCCCACAGTCCTGCTTGGTCCCTCCTATGCCCGCCTCCTAACCCCTGTCAAGGCCCTTTTCCGCTAAGCTGCGCTCTGGCTACATGGGGCTACATAACTGGTGTATAGTCGCCATATGGGCAGGCGGAACCTTGGACAACCATCCCACATACCTATCCCCAATAACACGCTGACACTAGGAATATGGGAAAAATTGTCCACAGCTTTATTAACAAACAGAAACGATACTAATAATTTAACATATATATAACACATGGGTCATTGCCCCCCATCCTCCGCCCTCGCATCTATACCTTCATTAAATATCAGGGCAATGACCCAACATAAGCAACACATAAATATATATAAATAACGCTTTAACTTTACTCCAACATGAACCGATTTGAATGCAACCATAAGTAACCACGGTAGGGGTATACCCAGATACCCCTACCCCACCAGGTTCTGAGCCACCTCCAGGACTCGAAACCCACCATCGACCAGTGACCACAATTCTTCATGTTCCTCACGTTCCTCATGGAGAGCCTATTTTTCCTTCCCTAGCTCTCTATCCCGCCACAAGCTCGGACCTTGACCCCTCAAGCCGACCGAGCTCCGCCACCCCGAAGAAAGAGAGCCCTCTGCATCCCCTCCTGCAAACCCAAGTTCAGCAAATCCAGACCCACCGCTG